CGATGTCAGGGAGGAGAGGTTGGTTGCCCACCTGAATGGGTCTTATGCATCGATGGAATCTCGATTGTCGGAAATGATGGAGGTCCGAGGGTGTGTGAGGCACAGGGTGACAAAGGTGGAGGTTGGGTATGATGTTAGGGTGCAGTGTTTTCGGCATCGGAGGTAGAGCTAGCTCAGGGAACTTGAGCAGCTAGGGTTGTCTGTAGGGACGACGCGAAAATACTCCTGGTGGAGACTGATGTATAGCGCTGACGTAGATAGAAGCGGAGTCCATATCCCCTTCTTAGGATTAGACATCCCAGCATCTAATCGACACAACAGGCTAGAGTCGGATCATCCAGAAGCGGAAGCGGAACATCATAGGGAAGGTGGAAGAGAGGAGTGTGGAGTAACCGGAGGGTTCCGGAATACTTCCAAGGAGATGTGGGAGGGTGGAGATCGTGCTAACGATCGTCCAGAGAACTCTCGGAGGTGAGCCCGAAGGCAGAGAGAGTGGGTGGAGTAGAGATGTGTGCATACCATGTGCAAAGGTTAGATATTAACCGGTAGCAAGCTTTGGCGACGCATACAAGGTTACCAATGGGGTAGGAGTCTTCCTCAGGGTAAGAGGTAGACAGAGAAAGAATATCAACCATCGGAGCAAGGTCCGGAGGCGACAAGGAAAGGCGAGGGTGGTAGGAAAGGAAGTGTCCTCGTACCTAGACAACATTTACTCAGTTCCATTACTCAACGGAGTCTCAGGGTGAGCAGACATTAGCCAGATACTTGAGCACAAACTTATCCAATGGGGTGACGTGGAAACGTCAACAGATGGAATCCTAACTCAAAGAGAGAGGACAGAGGGAACGGGTCAACCAGTGGAACTAGGTCCGGAGGTGATGGAAAGAGTATGGGGAGGTTGCGGTGGGGTGTCCGGTGTTTCGGAAATACTGCTCATGATCTAGGCTCAACGGAGCACATAGGTGAGACAGTTATCCTAGCGGTGGAACACTGACCGAAGGCAACGAGGCGAGGTAGAGTCGGAGTTGGAGTGTGAGGTGGTCAAACTGGGGTGTCCGAAGTGTCCGGACGTAAGGTACTGTGGTACCAGTCACTCAACGGAGCAAGAGGTAGAGTACCAGTGTGTCCTAGATGGTAGGCAAGGTCCATTTGACAAAAGTGATGTAAGAACATCTTCGGAATTGATGAGGGAAGTGTGTGTCAACCAGCGGTGTGAAGTCCGAAGGTTAACGGAAGAGTAAGTGGAGGTGGATGAGTTGGGTTGTGGGTTCCGGAGGTCCGGACAAGGTAAGCTCAAGACTATCGCTCAACGGAGCGCATAGGAGAGGCAAATTATGCCATGAGACATCAGAACCACAAGCCAAGTCAGCCAGGGTGGCGTAGAACGTCATCGGAAGAGAGGAGGACGTAGTATCAACCAACGGGATGAGGTCCAAAGGAAGATGGGGGCCAGATGGGATGGAAGCGGAGCATGGCTCGCTATCCCGGAGTAGGGTGCTCAGCATTACTGATGGAATGCCAGGCGGTGGGGAGTGCAACGGGGAATCGGGTGGAAGCGTCTACCATAGGACAAGGAGTCCAAGTGGAGACTGGGGGGTGATCACGGAAAGGCAGACTGGGTTGTTCCAAAGCACAGACTAGGTAACTGCTCTTAAACCCCTCGATCAACGGATCGAAATTGGGCGAGTCAGTAGGTGTCCCAGAACTTAAGGGACAAGGACCATCTACAAATGATGAAGGTTTGTCCAGGTTGATTCAGACCGAAGCAAAGCGGATGGGGTAGGTCGATGGCCTGGGTACTGGTGTGCCAGCAGTGCCTAATCGACAGTTGGGTGATGACCAGCAAGGAGCCGGTGCATCGGAAGGTGGGGGAGGTCAAGGACGAGGTGTCCAAGACGGGGGTGTGGAGGTCCGGAAGGACCGAGAGGCAGGGGGGAAACGAGGGGTGAGGTGTGGGAGTGAAGGTGATAGAAGGCAGCTCCCAGGGACCTAAAAGTGGTGTTGGGGCACGTGTCAAATGCGTCCGACAGTGCCGAAGGGTATGGACCAGACTGGTCCGTACGATGGAAGGTGGTTCCCATGTGACGCTGTAGGCGGGATAATCGCCCACGCGCAGAGCCGGCTCGGATACCCGCTTCTACGACTATAAAACGACTTTCATTCACGCGACGACTTGGTACAAATTTGGTATCCAAAAATAGTGCTAATTCGTATGATTCTGACGATACCAAGAACGTCCCAATCGGTGGAGATTTGACGGAGTTCTATGTTGGGCATGTTAGGCATGGCAGGTCACGAGTATGTGCGGGCGTGGGAATCTCAAGCGGCAACCCAGAATTCCAGCCTCACTCGTTCCCACGGCGTCTAATAAATTGGTAAAAATGCTCATTGGTTGCGTGAGAGTTATCTCCGGCTACATTTCCAATTTAGGCTCTTAATTCCGTAAATCCATTGAGATATCGCTTATTTTCTCTTATTTTCATATTTCACCATCATTTCAGTTATTGATTGATATTCTTTTATTGTTACTGTTACCCTTTTATTATTTCGCCTAATAAGGTACCCAGGTGCCATATGGTACCAATATTCACCATCTATTATTTCTAAAAATAATTATTTCTTATAATCCTGTACATACCGGATTTTTGAAAAAAAGTTCTCCCCTCCCCCAATTTTCTCTAAGGTGCTAGGACGCGCTAGAGTTGGTGTGAGTGTGTGGAATTCCAACAGTAGGAATAAGGGCAGCTGTCTAGCTCACAACGAGTGAGTAGTGGACGCTGAGCCCGGACCTTGCGGAAATCCCGGAGAACCCACCACGGAGTTAAGGATCGAGTCAAGCGAAGTTTAGAGAGAAAGTAGAGAGTTTAGGAGAGTTTGGCCCCACGAGCTTAGTCGGCATAGAGAGCCGCTAGCCCTCTTGCATTTCTGGTGGTCCTTACAGGGGGTCACTCTCATTTTACGGACGTTTCATCAAGTTTTCACGCATCGTTGGAGTTTATCAAGTCTCAGTTGGATCTTACGGACGCTGGACTTGGAGTTTATCAGTTCACGAAAGGAGTTTACGGAAGTTCGAGAGGATTTTCATTGCGCGAGTTTAGAGAAAGGGTACATTGGGTATCTACATGGCACACGTCGTTGAGCCATTTGGTTTCCAAGCCGAGGAGCACGGTCCTCAGCACGAGTATGATGAGGTAGAAGGAGAGTACGAGAACGGAGAAGAGGGAGTCCTGGAGAATGATGGTGGCGAAGCACCGGAGTTGGATGGGATTCAGCAGGATGTGGCTGGAGTCGCGGCCGCAACTGTTCACACAACAGTTACGCGCATGCCAGGGCCACGGAGTAGAGAAGCGCCGAGGTTTAGAGGAAAGAAGGTGAAGAAGTTTCTGTACGAGTTCGAGTTGCAGGCACGGAGTGCGCGGCTATCGAATGTGCAGAAGTGTGAATACGTTGTTTCATACTGCACGGAGCGGGAGGCGAAGTTTATCAGGACACTCACCTCGTTTAAGACTAAGCATTGGAGTCAGCTCAAGTCGGAGTTACTGAACTTCTATCCTGCAGAGCACGAAGATCGAGTATATCGGACGCGAGACCTTAGGAAGTTCGTCAAGAAAGATCGCAAGATTAGACGCCGATCCCAGTTCGACGATTATCGGCGGAAGTTTCAGGTAATGGCCTCTTCACTTGAGGAGAGAGGAGTTCTTCACTCTGTGGAGCGCGACGATTGCTTCTTCAGAGGGATAAAGCCAAAGAGTTTCAGAAAGCTGATCAAGCGCGAGTTGAAGTCGCAGAGTAGATGGACGGACCTTACGAAGCCTCCATCGATGAGCCAAGTTGTTGCGACGGCAAAGCATCTGCTGAAGCATGACTTGTATCGCGACGACGATTCAGACGTTGATTCGGATTCAGATGATGACGGATCGGACAGTGATTCGGAGTCGAGTTCAGGTAGTAGTGACGAGAGTTCAGACTCGGAGTCGACGGATGACGAGAGTACGAGGCGCACGGTTCGGAAGCGCCAAGAGGTTAAGGTAGTGAAGAAGGTACCAGTGAAGAAGGTCCAGAAGAAGTTGCCAGCGACGGCAGAGACGTCGAAGTCTGCGGATAAGAGACCAGATGCGCCAGCAGTAGCTCCCAGAGTTGAGCCGGACGCGGGTTTCAAGTCTAACATGGACGATTTGGCGGATAGGATTAGCAAGCTGACGATTCAACTTGCTAGAGTGCACGAAAGACCTAGAGTCGGACCTCAGGTGTCCACGGGCGGAACGTTAAAGTGTTATATGTGTGAGGACGAGGGGCACGGAGTTAAGGATTGCCCCGAGACGAGAGCATTCCTAGCGGCGGGTGTGTTGAAGCTCGATGCCACCAATAGATTGGTTATGGCAGATGGCAGTAGACTACCGCATGCTTTTGGAGAAGAGAAGTTAGCGCGATTGATAAGACAGAAAGCCGCGATGCGCACCACAGCCAACTTAGAATGGATGCGCAAGTCTGAGACAGCGATTCACGAGTTTGGAGGGTTAGGAGATGCTGTGTACGAAGTGTTTCCAGCCGAGCGAACGGAGAAAGAGAAGGGGAGGTCGTCGAGATCGAAGCCATATGAACGGCCGATGAGTCCTCAGCCACCCCCACCCCAAGTTAGATCGATACCGCAAGACGAGTTGAGAAAGAACGCAGAGCCACCGAGCCGGGCATACGTTGAACTGCCGGCTAAGCCACCGGTTATTCTTAAGAGACCGTCTCCAGAGTCGAGTGGTCCATCGAGAATGAATGTAGATCGAGAAGAGCCAGCTTCGCGAGACAAGGGAAAGCAGAGAGCTGACCCTCAGGTTGCGTCGAACCCGAGAGCGGTTCCCAGCTCGAGTAAGACTAAGAAGTTGCCTGAGAACGTTGAAGTGCGGGACCCGAAGCGGGCGAGTTTTAGACAGAAGTCAGTTCCAGCGTATCGATTTGCGTCAGAGTTGCAAGAACGCGTCAAGAACGACGACTTGTTCGAGCGTTTGATGGACCAGAACGTCACCATTCCGTTGGGAATGATCTTTGGGACTTCTTACGAGCTCAACAAACGTTTGACTGCTGCAACGAAAATTCATAGAATTCCTACGAGACAGACAAATGTGGTAGAATACATGACGGACGAAGAAGACGAAGAAGTAGAAGTAGAAGGAGAAGTGGAAGTGAGAGCGATGGACACTGAGGTTTCATCGATTTCGAAAGAGATAGCCAACCTCGACGTGGAAGTTAGTGATGATGTCGATCAGGCCAAGTATACTTCGGCCCAGGGCGATCCAGTCAGTAAGACGGAACGGACGGACGGTTTCGCTATCTGTGTCAACGTAGATGCAGAGATCGCGTCAGCAGATCGAGTAACGCCGAAAGTTTTGGGATTAGGAAGTGATAAGAGACTTACGCGGACGTTTGAGCGCGGTAGTCGAGTGAGGCCCCGAGTGCGAGAGCCCCAGCTTAAAGAGCTCAGGCCTCCAGGCCTTCGTCGTAGTTCATGTGGGATGAGCACCAAGTTGACGATCGACTCAGAGATTAGAGAAGATGTCGCGATTCCAAGTGTGGATTCAGGTTGTGATGACGAACGGATGTCGATTGCCAACCTAGATAGACAGGAAAGTCAAGTTAGTGACGAGTCGTTTGAACGGATGAGCAGAGACGATAAGATTGATTGCGTACGAGAACGACGTGATACGGAGTCACTGGCCAGCGGACATGGAGTTAGATTAGGAGAGAGCGCGATCGTCCCTGCGCCAGAGTCCCCAGTCGATTCGATGACGGATCTAGACGAAGTTCACGGAAGTCAGATCAGAGCACACGAACCAAGTTACGAAATATCGTTTAAGTTTGACGACGACGAGTCGAGTACGATGAGCAGCGGCCACGATGGCACCTCAGAACGAGTTTCCTTTGACACGACGGAGTATGAGATCAGCGACGAGAGTTTGTCAGACGCGATGGCAGCAGATGTGCCCGGATCGCGCGAGTCTGCAATGCCAGAGAGTTTGAAAGTTGAGCGAGCGGTTCATGTTCAGACAGAGACGGTAGAACGAGAGACAGAGTCAAGAGAGCTTAGGCCTCCCAGCCTTCACTCTAGCATAGTCGAAAAGCATGTCGAGTGCGCAGATAGTTCACAGTCTGGTGATTCAGGTTACAGCGAGCAGGACGCTGAGTTTAGAGAGCTAAGGCCTCTCAGCCCTTGCTCTACTGTGGTTGAGGAGTCTCTCAGCTTCAGTCCTAGCGATTATTCGTATCAGACGGCTGACGATGACGAGGTTAGAGATGAGATTAGAGCGCGAGTGTCTCAGTCGAAAGATCCTCCGGCAATGCGGGGTGACCTGTGGAAGATGTACGGCCCCTGTGGCTACTTCATGCCCTGGCACACATTCCCAGTTGTCGTGGATCCAGCGCAGAGAAGTTCAGAGCAGTTGTTGGGATGCGATCTAGAGATCGAAGCGCCCACGGAGTCAAAGTTAAGCGCAGCGCAGCCACCAATTCAGAAGGGCGGCAACGTGATCGAATTCGTTGAAGCACAACCTACGCGATCTGTGGCCACAGTTTTAGACGAGAACGAGAGTACAAGGACGAGCAGCTTTTCGTTTGAGCGCAACATGGCACAGAACAGTTACCCCAACGACGCAGGAAGAGAGGATGCCGCGAAAGCCTTAGAGTCAGACAGGAAGTTTGCGACGCAGCGGAGATTGGAGCACCAGAGAGGAAGTCGTGGATCAGGAGGACTGTTTGGTCCACCCCATCTTCAACTTCCTGCACCTGGGCGATATTCACCTCCAAGAACCGTAGCCATGGAGCCCAAGTCTGATCGTGAGACGGCTCAGAAAGTTGAGAATCACGCAGCGGAAGTGACCAAGTTGAGACGAGAGTTAGAAGTGGAGAGGCGAAGGAATTCCACACCCCCGTTAGTCCAGGGCACCATCACCCTCTCAGAGAAGTCGAACGAGAGAACGTTGGAAGTTAATGCGAGTACGCGAACAGACAAGAGGAGGCAGGTGAACGAAGATAGAACGACGAGGAAGAACGATGTCAGAGACGACAACAGCACGGTTACGTTGGCGCGAGTGCATCAGTCAACGGATCCTCCAGCCGAGCGCGGTGACTCGAGGATTACGGACGGTGTTATTCATGAAGTTTTCGAGTATGACGGTAATTCCAGACGAGTAGCGCGTGAGCATGAGTTTAAAGAGCTAAGGCCTCCTGGCCTTGAGCTTAGTCGAGTTCTGTGCGACGGAATTAGTGAGACGTGGACGAGCGATAGCAAAGAACGAGTGGCAGGAGTGGCCCAGCCTAAAGACCCTCCTAGCAGGCGGAGCAGTCTTTACATGGAGTCCGAGAGCAGTGACGGAAGCGAGTTCGGGTTCGAAGAGTTGAGACCTCCCGACCCAGACCTTACTTTAGACGAGAAGGGCGGTGTGAGGCAGGCAAGCTCGAGTTTTGACTTGTGGATGGACTTGGCGAGAGGACAGTTCCATCGAGAGAGATCGGCGACGAGAGAGACGGAGATGCGGAAAGGAAAGATCGTGGAAAGAGACGAGGTGAGGCCCTCGGTGGCCGGAACCTCAGGGTCTGTGCGAGGGAAGTTGTACTTCAAGGATGACCCGATGATGAGTAGCGAGAGCAGCGAGAGCGGGGTAGACAGATTGACCTCGGGAGGAAGGAAGTCCAAGAAGACTAGGACTTAGTGAAGGAAGTCATGACCATGTACGATAGGATGAGGACGGAAATTTTGTTTGGAAATATTTATGCGGGGACGGGAAGACATTTATGGTTTAACTTTAATTGTCGATGCTCGCAGGACGAGTCGTTCATTCTCAGGGGACCTCATGCGCATTGTGAGGGACCACAATAAGAGCTAGGCCTGTATGTAGGCGGGATAATCGCCCACGCGCAGAGCCGGCTCGGATACCCGCTTCTACGACTATAAAACGACTTTCATTCACGCGACGACTTGGTACAAATTTGGTATCCAAAAATAGTGCTAATTCGTATGATTCTGACGATACCAAGAACGTCCCAATCGGTGGAGATTTGACGGAGTTCTATGTTGGGCATGTTAGGCATGGCAGGTCACGAGTATGTGCGGGCGTGGGAATCTCAAGCGGCAACCCAGAATTCCAGCCTCACTCGTTCCCACGGCGTCTAATAAATTGGTAAAAATGCTCATTGGCTGCGTGAGAGTTATCTCCGGCTACATTTCCAATTTAGGCTCTTAATTCCGTAAATCCATTGAGATATCGCTTATTTTCTCTTATTTTCATATTTCACCATCATTTCAGTTATTGATTGATATTCTTTTATTGTTACTGTTACCCTTTTATTATTTCGCCTAATAAGGTACCCAGGTGCCATATGGTACCAATATTCACCATCTATTATTTCTAAAAATAATTATTTCTTATAATCCTGTACATACCGGATTTTTGAAAAAAAGTTCTCCCCTCCCCCAATTTTCTCTAAGGTGCTAGGACGCGCTAGAGTTGGTGTGAGTGTGTGGAATTCCAACAGTAGGAATAAGGGCAGCTGTCTAGCTCACAACGAGTGAGTAGTGGACGCTGAGCCCGGACCTTGCGGAAATCCCGGAGAACCCACCACGGAGTTAAGGATCGAGTCAAGCGAAGTTTAGAGAGAAAGTAGAGAGTTTAGGAGAGTTTGGCCCCACGAGCTTAGTCGGCATAGAGAGCCGCTAGCCCTCTTGCAACGCAGCGGGTGGTGTGTACTGCGAAGCGACGAGGGACCGAGGAAGAAGGAAGGTGGGGGAATGGGTGGCTTACCCGAAGCCAAGACAGAGGGTGCGGTCGACTGTGGGAGGTGGAGGCAGTCGGGCGCCAGGTGCTCGATGTCGGAACTAGACAACAGCAACGTGGAGTCCGAAATACTGTTAGAACCGGGCGGAAACAGACGACTCCGGAGTGGAATCGGAGACTTAGCGTGGAGGGACCTTGGCCTCAGTGACTCAAGCGGAGCGCTGTGCCATTGCTGTTTGTCCATTTGGTCCTTAATTTCACAGTAGGTGAGCAGGAAGTCTCTAGGGGGCATTTCAGGTCGATTTCGGACTGAACCAAAATGAGTATGTACAAGCACCGATATATATAATGGAGGGGGCAAAAGCACAAGGAAAACAAAGGGTACTGAATCGGAACGAAGACGTCTGAACGGGAACAAAGGGTAGAAGAAGCGGAGCGGTACCGAAGGTCATAAGGCAGGACCTGTGATACATCCGAAAGGAGGTAGGGAGGGCGAGGCCCAGAGGGGCAGGAGGATGAGGAGAAGTGGGGATGATGACTAACTGGCTAGAATGGGAAGAAGCAGTAGTCCAAATAGGGATGGGGGGTAAAGGCGAGAGATACATTACAAGCGGTGAAAGTGCCGAAGGCGATCCGCAAAGCTCAGGGGTTGCGGAGCTTACGGAGGTTACGGAGGCGGGGTTGAAAGTCCGAGGGATATTGGCAATGGTGTTTACGTAGTATGAGGTCACCAATGCAATGGATTAAGACTGAGGTGGAGTCAAAGTCTGAGGTAGGGACTATGATGGAGGCTCGGAGCAAAGGTACGAGAGGTGTCCGGGTACGAAGTACGGGACAGCGGTGGAAGGTCGTAACTTGGTGGGAGGGTGGCAGAGGAGTACCAGAGGGAGGAGAGAGGGGAAAGGTAAGGGAGGAGGAGTGGCGGAAAGGAGAGTTGTCAGGTCCGAAGGTGAGTATCGGAGTGGACGGGGGAAGCATAGGAGGGTGACGGGAGGGTAGAAGGAGGTGTGTTGCCAGGACCGGAGGTGAGTATCGGAATGGCAGCGGTAGGGTATGACTCCGGAGGTGAAGAGGGTGGAGGTCCGGAAATCGGGTAGGGGTTGGGTATGCACGGATATGACAGCTACTGTTAAAACAAGCAATAAAATAAGACAAAAATAAAACAAACTCAAGGGACACTTCAGACACAATCTAAACCCATTAACTGAGTAGAATCTTTGAAACTTCACCAAGTAGAAGATTTAATTCAAGTTAAAATCCAAATTAAAACGATCCTACACAGAATTACACCCAGACAAATTGAGAAATTACAATAGAGGAACAGCTCCGCAGGAATTTGTTTATCTGTAAGTCAATTCTCAGAAACTTTTAGACTAACCCATAAAATAGAATAAGCCAAAACGCTTGGATTGGTACTATAATTACAACAAATATTACTAGTACACTTCCCCATCCTAACTAAAGAACCAGGGAACAGCTTGGTGGTGGTCTCATTTGAACCTCCCAACTGACCTTCCTTTGTTCTCTCCTTCAGCGGTTAAAGGCCACGTGGGAGATGCCACATCACCTATGCACACAGCCACACTGTATCTCTGCAAGAGATCCCAGGAGTGTCTGGTGTGCAGGACGTCACCCAGTGTGTCTGGGTCCGGGTGTGTTGCACTGCAGCTGGGTCAATGGTATGTACATTGATGCAAGGAAAGTTGTCTGTGTAATAGAAAAGGAAAGAAGAAAGAAAAAAGGCAGGAAGAGAGAAGAAAGGAGGGAAGCAGAAGGGAAGGGGAGGAAGGAGGGCAGGGCACTGGATGAGGATAGTGGGACTGGGTGGAGTGGGGTCAGGCAGGTGTGCCCTGACATCACCCCCTCCTTAAGCCACTTCACCTTGAAGCGGCCAGGCGGTTCTCTCTCTCTCTCTCCCTGGGGTGTGGGGGTGCGTTCAGTGGAATTCCTCGATCCAGTTGGGGGCATGGACCAGGTGGTCATGGGGGAGCCATTGGTTCTCTGAATTTGGCCAGCCCATGAACTTTACCAGATACCAGAGTTTCCAGCATAGCCATTTGGAGTCTAATACCTTCTTGACTTCATACTCCTCTTCCCCATCTATGAGTTCCAGGCCTGGGCAGGGGTTGACAGGTCATTCCACAATTTCATCTGGGCAGTATGGCCTGATGTTCATCATGGATATGACCGGGTGGATTCCCTTCTGTCGTGTGGTGAGTTGGAGTTTGATGGCAGCAGAGGAGACAACTTTAACTATCCTGAAGGGGCCTAGCCATTTGTGGTCCAGCTTCTTGGTGGGGCGGTTGGTTGTATAGTTCTGGGCACTGAGCCAGACTTGGTCACCCTCCTGGTACTTGGGGCTGTCTTGCAGCCCCAGTCATAGTAGCGGGCCATCTCAACTGCTGCATGCCCCAGTGCTGCCTTTGCCTCCTCCTGCATCTTCATCATCCTCGATGAAAAGGTGTCAGCGGCCTCCACTTCAGATGTACAGGTGGGCTCTGTCCCCATTCTGGGGTGTTGCCCGGTGTCAAGTTCAAAGGGCATCTGGCAGGTGGATGAGTGGACGTGGTTGTTGTAAGTGAACTCTGCTAGCAGGAGCCAGTCTGCACAGTCATCCTGATGGTGGTTGACAAATACCCAGAGGCAGGCTTCGATCTCTTGATTGACCCATTCGGTCTGTCTGTCCGTTTGGGGTGGTAGGGTGTCGAGGGGGTGAGTTTGACTCCGAGGAGATCCGCAAGTTCTCTCAAGAAATGGGAGACAAAGGCGCTCCCTCTGTCGCTGAGGATTTCCTCTGGGAGTCCGTGGTGCTTCCAGACATGTTCCAGGAAGAGCTGCACGATGCCCACTGAGTCTATTGTCATCACTGTGGGGACCATGTGGATGCATTTGGATAAGTGGTCTACTACAACCAGGATGGCATTGTAGCCCTTTGACTCTGGGAGCTCTCCCACCATGTCCACTGAGATTACCTGCCAGTGGTGAGTGGGAACCTTATTGGGGGTGAGCTTCCCAACCTTTTGTGAGGGGAAGGATTTGACTTGGTTGCAGGTGTCACACCCATGAATGTACTGCCTGACATACTCTCCCATCTGGGGCCACCAGTAGTCATGGGAGATGAGTTCTAGGGTTTTCCACCACCCATGTTACGGATACAGAGTCTCCAACGGCCATATCCATCGCATAGTCAAAGACTTCTCCTCTCTATCGCTCTCCCTCTTTCTCCCTTTCATCCTCTATCCCGATACCATACCCTCCTTACTCGTTCTACCCTTTTTCCCCCCCCCCCTCATGCAAAGCTTTCCCCATTGGGGTTTTGGTGCTGGCCGAGGTTACTTGTGTTTCGCAGGAAATCCCGCGACTTTACCATTTGTAGATAGTCACGTGTCTTGTATGGAAACCGCCGAAGGCGGTTCCCACTAACTAACAACTACTCTCTACAACTGTCTTGTGTGTCGTCTTCTGTAACAACCCTTCCTGTGACTCAACTGAACCTGTGTGACTGTACAACTCACAACATGTCTTATAAGTCTGGTTATGTCGAGTCCTCTAACGGTCCTCACCATGAGAACTCGAGGTCATGAGTCGAAGACTCACGACATGTGTATCATCCTATGGAATCTGTTCCCTACGGGACTTCATCACTCCGCTCTCCCCCAGTGCTCGACAGATGACGTCACATCACGATCTTGGAGATCGTGAATACTCTGAGGTCCACTTTCCTGTGATGCCGGCACATTTGCTATGCGAACGCCAAGTAGCCGCCCATCCACTGTCTGTTCCCTCCTTCGTCAGTCATCATATTCCCCTGCCAATGGTACATTCCCTTTGGGAATGCCAAGTCACCGAAGGCCCCATTAGTCAATCCTCATTGCATGCTCATGATATCAACCCGCTACCGGTACGTTCGCGCTGCGAACGCCAAGTACCCGATGGCAGTTATACAAAGTTCTCACCCACCTCACGAGTCGCAACCTCGCACACGGTACGCTCCATTGAGGAGTGCCAAGTACCCGTGGCTGACCTGTCTGTCCTGGTCTCTCCGACTACCTACCATCAATTCCTTAATAGCTCACTACATCACCAATCACGATCGA